TCATGAGAACTGATTAGATTGAGGAAATGAGAAGTTGGGATGTGTGAGGGAGCATCGATATGTAGATTGAAGTGTGGAGGCAGGAGTTGCAGAGGAAAGAAAGCCTGGAACTCACTGAAGAAGGAAGGAGAATGTTTTGCATGATGAAGTGCCATTAGGCCCTCTCCCACTATTTCTCTACTAATATTAGGCATTAATTCCATATTATCTGTTTTTGTTCTCTTTTTTTTCCAATCCAAACATTAGTCTTCTTGGTAGAGAAAATAAAAGCAATATAAAAGATGAGCCGTTCTTCATTCCTTCAATCACCTATTCTAATCATCTTAACCACCCCAAGCAGCAATGGTTCTATTCCTTCTTTGATATTCCTTTTCCCCCTTTTTCTCATTCTTAGCCATTATTTTTTCCCCTCTGGAAACTTTCTTCCTTCTGATTTCAATATTTTCATCTATTGCTCCACCATTTACTGGCTCTTCCATCTTCACATTTTTTAGCCTTATCTGATGGCTGGTCACTCAATTAACAAACATTTATTAAGTGCTTATCATATTCCAGGCATTTTGTTTTGCACTGGGGATGCAAAGAAAAACAAAACTTAATCCTTGCTCTCAAAGAGCTCACAGTCTAATGGGGAAGGCAACATGAAAACAGCTTAGTATAAACAAGACACATTACAATCTTCAAAATTCTTTTTTGTGATATAATAATATTTTGAGGTCTTTTATAAACTGATGAAAAATGAAATGAACAGAACCAGTATGACAACTTATATAATAACAATAACACTGTAAAAATAAACAACTTTGAAGGTCATAAGAACTATGTTCAATACAATGACCATTCCAAAGGACTGATAATGAAAAATGAGATAGAAGTTATAGATTTAGGGAGCAGATGAAATACATATATATGCATATATATACACACAATGTATATACATAATATATATATAACATATATACATACACATATATGTACGTATATATACAAGATACACACACTGTATACACATACATACACACACACATATATATGTTTTGTGTGCACGTATACAACCAATGAGGGAATTTGTTTTGCTTGACTATGTATATTTGCTACAAGAAATTATTTTCTTTAAAAAAATAAGATGCAAGTGGAATGGACAAACAATAGATTTCTATTATTTTTTTTTTAAATAGAGAGGAGAGGCATGCTAATGATGTGAAATGTTGCATGCACTGTCAGACAGGGACACTGTATTATTAGTTTTACTCAACTGTTTTACTTTATTACAAGAGAGTTCCCATGAGATAGGATTATTCAGTGAATGTTTATAATGTGAAAACAAACATTAAGGGGCCCATGGGATGGGGTGGGGGTTGGGAAAAGCTTCTTGTAGAAGGTGTGATTTTAGGTGAGACTTGAAGAAAGCCAGGGAAGCCAGGAAGTGAAGATGAGAAGGGAGGCCATTGCATGGATGGGGAACAGCCAGTGAAAAAGAGAATGAACATATATGTGTACATATACATCCATCCATCTATCCACACACAAATACACATATATACATATGCAATATATAGATGTATATGTACGTGTATGTATGGGTATACACACACACATACACACACACAACCACACACACACACACACACACACATATATATATATACATATTGTGTGTATATGCAGGCATATATCTATATATAAATGATATCCAGGTCGAGATGTGTAAGAGACAGTTGATGATAAAAGACTGAAGGCCAGGAGAGATGTTAGGACTGGACAAATAGATCTGATAATTTTTCTGCATGCAGATGATAATTGAATCCATGGAAGCTGATAAGAGATCATCATTTAAGACAGTAGAGAGGAAGAAGAAAAGAGTGCTCAGAAGTGAACCTTGGCAGGCACCAACCATGAGTGAGTGGTAGAGATCCAGCAATGCCACTGAAACCTAGAGAGAAAAGAGTATCAAGAAGAGAATGATAGAAATGACAGCTTTTTCTCAGTTCTCATCCTATTTAGCCTAAGAAGAAGGGGGAAGAGCTGTAGGTGCTAGGAGCAGCAATTAGAAGTGACAATAAGCAAACCTTCTAGGGAAAACAGTCATTTGCATTTTAGTGCTATAACCCTTGATGATATTACAATCCTACTGTGCGTTAGAGGTAGGGAAACATTGATCTTGGATTTAGAGGACCTGGGTTCAAATCTTACATCTTATCCTTATGCTACTTTTGTAGTATAACCGTAGGATAACATAGTAATCATAATCATTCCTATTCCCCTTCCCTCCACTTTAACCTTCTTCACGTGTTGTATTCCCTCAGAATGCTGGCTCCTTGATGGCAGAAACCGTCTTGCTCGCTTGTAGGGTATCCTTAGCACCTAGCACAGAGCCTAGCCTGGAGTGAGTTCTTAACAGATGCTTTGTCTGTTGGTCTATTTATCTATCTCTCTATCTAGTCCTCTTGCCTCACTGACCAAAGTAGATATCACAAATCTATCAGTTCCCTCCTGCCAAAAGTGTTCTAGGAAGGGGAGAGGTCAATGAGAAATACTTTTAATGGCTCTAGAAGTCAGAGATTTGACTCCTGTTATAACAAATGACCCACTGGAAAATATAGCTAAGCTTGGATCTATGGTACTAAAGATTTTCCGAATTCTTCAGGAATTGCTTGGCTTTGGTGGTGACCCTAAACTTTGGTGACCTTTCCAGCTTTGTATTGTGGGCCCCTCTCTCTAATTCTCCCTGCCAGGAGTTTGGGACAAATAGGCCATTCATTTCTTCCATTCCATCTGTAGAGCCTCAGTGACCCTCTTTTAGCTTTAGAATCAAATATAAACTCTCCTGTTTGACATTTAAGGCCCTTCACAACTTGTCCCTTAAGTTTCTTTCCAGTCCTGTTGCACGTTTGTTTCCCTTCTGTACTCCATGATTCAGCCAAACTTGTCTTCTCTCTGTTCCTTACACAGAGAACTCCATCTCCCATCACAAACCTTTGTGTTTGTCTCCACCCATGCAAGGGATGTACCTTCTTCTCTCCTCTGCCTCATAGAAGCCTTCTCTTTCTTTAACATACAGTGCAAGCATCATCTTCTACCTGAAACCTTTTCTGATCCCCCTCCAACCGCCAGTCCCCTCCTTCTATAATTACCTTGTATTTAGCTCCCTTGTATTTTATTTTAACATTTATTCCCTATATACTTGCACTTCACTCTGTATACTTAATTTTGTGGTGTACATACATGTATATGTGTACACACACATATATATGTATATACTTGTTATCTCCCCTTTAGAATGTAAGGTCCTTAAGAAGAGGGACTGTTTCATTCTTGATTTGTGTCACCATCATCTAGTGCTGTTTGGCATATAGTAGACATTTAGTAAACACTTGCTGATTGAGTGATTGGGTTCAATCTACTTTTCCAGACTTATTGCTCATTACTTCCTAGCCAAAATAGCCTTCTCGCTGTACCTCAGATAAGATGCTCAGTCCTCTGCTTCCTTGACATGGTACTGGCCGATCCCCATGCTTAAAATGCTTTTTAGACTCACTTCCCATCTTAGATTTCCTAGTGGCCTTCAAGACTTAGATGAAGTCCAACTTTTTGAGTCCTGTCCTGATTCCCCAAAGCTAATGCTGTCTCTTCTACCACTTTTTACTTATTTTGTGCATAACACACATGTAGAAATATATGTGTGTATGTGTATATGTATATGTGTGTATATGTATATGTATATGTGTGTATGTATGCATGTAACGTTATCTACTCTGACTAGGCTGTAAGCTCCTTGAGTTCAAGAGCCGTTTTCTCTCGTCTTTTTATCTGTTTGCTTGACACACAGTAGGAGTTTAATAATTGCTTTTTAATTGACTGTCCCCCATATCTAAAACATTACTTTATTGTCACTTCTACTACAGAGCAGCTGCTCCCTAATGCTTGTAGAATTCATCCATTCAATAGATAACTTGTTAAGCAGTTTCTGGGTGAAGGCTACCGTAGACAGTCATGGAGGAAGGAGGATCTGTGATTTCACAGCTGTAGAATTCCCCTCTAACAACCTGATTTAAAATCTTCCCTGAGAGTTGCCTAGAGAACTAAGAGGTTAAATGACTTGCCCAGGGTCACACGGTCAGCACTGTCAAAGGCCAGAAGAGAAACCACAAAGATCTCTATCCATTACACCAGACTTCAGGGGAGATAGAAAAATAAACTAAAAAGATGAAAACTCCCCTCCCTCCCCCAATCATCCTTCCCCTCCCCCATCTCAACTCAACCAGATATGTCCCAGTTCCTTCACCTCCCCTGCTTCCCTAGGGCGGGTTTCCCTTTGTAATTAATCTCGAAGCTCAAACCTAAGAGGAGAAGAAAGTGCTAATGAGGGAGCATCCCCCTACTCCCCGGGCGGGCTCAGCATGAATGCCGAGTAATTAATTTTTTGGGGGAGAGGGAAATCCCGGCACGTATGGGGAAGGGGGGAGCTCTTCCTATTGATCCCAGCCGCATACTGCCCTCTCTTCCCCTAGCCACTGGGGGGTGGTGTATCGGTGTGAGCGGCTTCCCGGCTTCCCAGATCCTTAGCTTTTTAAAAGAGCTACGGGGCAAAGAGAGGGGAGCGTCCGTAGCATCATCAGCGTTTGGGAGCTGCGTCTCGGACAAGGCGGGGAAGACATCCCCATCTCCAATCCCTGGAGAGGCTGCCGGCTGGTCTGGGCGGGGGCCTGGGAATTCTGGTCCTTCCTTCTCACAGTTCCAGGACTGGGGTCGCGCACCCTCCACGACTAGTTTCCAAGAATCCGAGGGCCTTGGAGAGCTAGGAGCAGAGGGGGCAGGGGGAGGGGAGGGGTGAGTAGCTCGGCTGGTCGGGGAACTGCGGCTCCGCAGACAATGGACGAGGCGGCGGGAGGGGCGGCGGCAGCCGGAACAGCCCGGGAGGAGGTGCTGGCGAGTGAGCTCTCCCCCCGCTCCCCTCCCCTCTCCCCTCCCTCTTCTCCCTCTTCCCCCCTCCCCCCTATGTTCAGCCGGCTCCTGATCTGATTCCTGATCCCTGATTCCCTGATCCCCGATCCCGCCATGGGAGCCTGAAGAACCCCTCCTCCCCCCTCGACCCCCGCCCCCCGGGGCCCAGAGGGGGAAGAGGTTGCGGTCTGGGATAGAGCTAGGGGGTGACCAGGACCCAGAGCCCCCCGCGACCCCCCTCCCTCACCCGCCCCCTTGCCAGCGCTGCCCGGGAGCGCGGAGTTCGCTCCGAGCGACCTGGAGCGCTGCGCTGCCATACAAAGGCTCCGGCCGGGCCGGGGCGGAACTGAGCGGACCGGGGCAGCTCGGGAGCGGCGGGTGAGTGCTGAGGCCGCGGGGGGTGCGGGCAAAGTTTGCAAAAAAAAAAAAGAAGAAAAGAAAAAGAGCAAGGCGCCGCGGCGGACCGAGGGAGGGGTGTCCAGGGCTGGGGAAGGGGGGCTTGGGTTTCGGGGGGGGTCTAGGGCTTCCCCGCCTCTGGCCCGCCCCTCCACCCTGCAGGGCCCCCCTAGTCGGGGAGGGGAAGGGGCGCACGGGGGGGCGGGGCTCAGGCCTGGCAAGCCGGGGACTTTCCTGGGCCCGGGGCGGGGGCGGGGGCCTGAGAGGTCCCTGAGGGAGCTGGTTTCAGCCCGGGACCTGGAGTCTGGAGCGGGCGGGGAGTAGAGGGGGATCTAGAGGTGTCTTTGACGCTTGAGTAGGGGATCGGTGTGCGGGCGTGTCGCGTCTGGGGGTTGCATGGAGTCCCAGGAGGGCGCTGGAGGGGCTATAAAGGGGGAGCGGGTATGGAGCTTGGAGAAGGGGACTGGCTGGGTTTTCTTGGGGGCCCGGAGGTCAAACCCTAGCAACCACCCCTCTTCCCTTTTCTGATGCTCCCCTTTTTGGAGGGCAAAGGGACCAGCCACTGTGAGAACTGTCGGGGGAGGGGGCATGTGTGTCCTAGCCTGTCTTTGTGTTTGTATTCGTGCACGCCTGTCCCTGCAGGTGTGTGCCTTCGTGTTTGGGGTGTGTAGGGGTTTCTCTCTAGCTACCAGCGTCTATATGGGAGCAGGGAGTGTCTGGAGTGTCCCTAGTGTTAGGGGACCTATGTGTGTGTCCTTGTATACTGAGGAAGGGGAATGTTTGTCTACATAGGTGTTTGTATATTGGTAAAGATGTATGTATATTTTGGTAAGGGTTGTGTTTGCAGGCCCAAATATTGAGCAGGATGGGGGCGTGTGTCTTAGGGAAGGGTGTGTATAAGGAGGACCAGAGGTGTGTACTGAAGATAGTTGTTTTTATTTAAAGGGTCTGTGTACTTGTGTATGTGTGTACTAGGTGTTTTGAGATGTTTCATATGTATATCCGATGGGTGTACCTTTAAGTGAGTGTTTGTCCCTGGCGATGGTGTGTGTACTGGGGAGGCGGGAGGTGTTATGTCCTGCCCATCTAGATAGGTGAGATGGACTTGAAACTCTGAGAGGAAGGGTTCTCTCTCTGTCCCCTGGAGTGTGTGGAGGATTTGGGAACGGTAACAGTAGGTTTATTGTTGGAAACAAGGATGGGGTGGGAATGGGTGGGCAGCCTTTTGTGGGTCAGGCAGGGCTTCCTTGCTGGTGTTTGTAAGTTGTGGCATGTTCACATCAAAACTCTTTTCTACATCCATGCCCAAAGGGAAGTTGGTGGAAAGTGGAGACCTTTATAGGGCTGGGGGGGAGGGGCTATAAGTAAGGGTCTGGGTTTGATTGAGTGTTTTTTTCAACCCTTAGGAGAAGGACTAGGGGAGTCCAGACTCTTGGGTTCTCTTCCCAAGTTTCATGTCTTATCTGCTATGGCTTTTGGCCTTCCTCCAAGCACTTAACCTTTTTTTCCCCTCCACTTTGCCCATACTACCTTTCCCCAGGGTTAGTATTTCGCCACCCAGTTCTGCTCTTGTAGCTCTAAGGCCTTTGTGGAGTTTTGGGATTCTGATACAGGAAGAAGGAGAGAGGGAGAAGAATGGTTGGGGAGGTGATAGGGTAATGATGGGCCTAATCCACTAGGAAACCAAGTTTTTGAGATTAAGATGAGAGAGTTGGGAAAAGAGAGCAGGATGATTGGAGGTAATGAAATGACTGGTTGCTTGTGGAGTACAATTCAGGGCCTTCCTTCTGCTCTCAGAAGAGCTGTGCAGGTTGAAGTTAAGCCCGAGGGTGGAGGATGAAAGCTGGGTATGTAGGGATAAGATGGAAGCTGAGGATGTGTGAGATGGTTCCACCTGAAAGTATGGGATGTGAGCTGAGGATATGGGCTGGGGCTGAGGAGAGGGAATAGGAACTGAGGGTGTGGGGTAAAGATTTGGAATAGGAATTAAAAGATGAGGTTGAAGATCTGAAGGGGATACTGAGGCCTGAGGGTTAAAGATGTGGGATGAGGTTGAGGATATAGGAAGGGCTGAAGACATGGCATAGGGATAAAAGCAGAGTGTATCGATTTGGGCTGAGAGCTTAGGATCTGCTTGGGAGTTGAGACCTTGGAGTAAAGAAGCTGAGGATGTGGAATTAGGGCTAAGCATATGGGATGAAGGGTGATGGTGTGAGTTGAAGGATAGGAAGGGAACTGAGGGTTAGGACTGAGGGTTGAAGGATGTTGAACTGGGACTAAAATCTGTGAGTAGTTTGGGGAGGAGGGAAAAGGGAAGCATACTGTTTACAGATCTGGTCTCATCCATTACTGTGGTGTGGGGACCCAGTTGCCCTACTCCCAAATGAAAATATTTCTCTTCAGAGAATAGAATCTGCTTCTTCCTTCCCTGTTTGGGGCTAGGGAGGAAGTGGCTGGCTCAGGACCCCAAGAGACAGAATTTAGTGTAAGGTAAGCCTGGAAAGAGAAGGGACCAAAGTTTAGGACAAGACTTACCTTTTAAAGCAGCATGTTCACAGATTCATAGCCTAACTACCTTCAGGCCAAGGGGTTAGGGTTCCAGTCTAAATTAATAGGTGAGACTCTTCTAGAAACAGAGGCACTCTTACTTAACTCAGTGAGCTCTAACCTTCCTAGATCCTACTTCAAAGTGTCATTGTCCACAGGCTGTGCCCCAGTCCCATTAGGATTCACTTGGTAGTCAAAGGGATCTTAGTCAGGTAGACACCAGTAATCAGAATACCAGAAGAGTTTGATTGAAGAGTACCTCCTGCCATCTTTCTGGTGGTGTCCCCTCCCATCTTCATACCAGTATGTATGTGATCTTGAGTCTCACGGATAGGAGACTTAGCTGGATAACTGTTTAGAAGAGCTGCTATGAGCAAGTGGGAATCATCTAGGACTCTCCTGTTTCCCCCAGGTGGGTTTCAGGAACTCAGACTATCCTAGCAGCTATCTTTGCCTTTGTTTCTTTTGTCATTGCACCCTTGACTTGTCCCCCTATTATAAGATTAAATGGAGAAAGCCCTGAATAGAGAAATGCAGAACCTGGGTTCTTGTTTTGGCTTAGCCTTTGATGTATCCTATGATACTGTTCAAGTTTCTTTCTTTCTCAGGACCTCTGTTACCCTTTCTATAAAATGGGACTAATGATACCTGTCACTCCTTATCCCTGGGGCTAGGAAGAGGATCATGATGAAAAAAGATGGGAGATACTGAATCTCTCCATGCTTTCAACCTCCTAGGAAGTCCACTTGATCTCAACCTGTTGCTTGATATGTTAGACTTGATACCAGATTTCTTTTTCGTGCCTTGGATTCTTGGTTCCTGTCATGTTGTTTGGAAACACCATCTCTACTTCCAGAGTCTGAGGTCGGGGACATATTTTGCTTCATTTTCTGAATTTTCCTGGTCAGATTCCTCCTGTATCTAGCCTTCTTTTTAACTCTCTTCTCCTAACCCCGTCTTTGTCTGCCAGTGATGGTTTGTAGGGATGGGCCAGCTAGCTGCATGACTACTGGGTGAGTTGCCCCCTTCAAGATGAGGTCTCCATACCAGGTTGGGGGCAGGGCTGAAGAGAGTGCTTGTACTCCTGACTAGCAGTTTTGTCTTGACCACACATCGCTCTCGTTCTCCTTTCCGTGTGGAATTGGGGAGGCTCAGGGTAAATCTCCAACTGGGGCTTGCCTGGGTTGCCATCAACTCTGCCCAGCTCTTTGCAGATCTGGGGCATAGACACCCTTTCTGTTGGGCCCTATGAAAATGGAGACCTATACGACCTGATGCCCCTGGCGAGGCTTGTAATTACAGACTGAACACCTGGGAAAGGGTTTGGGAGAGTGGCTAGGCCAAGAATCTCTTAGTTATCAGGGTGGGGTGAGGAGAGGGGAGAGTGGGAAGGAGCTGGGGGCAGGGGTAGGGAAGGCATCTTGGGGCCCCCTTTATCCTGTGGGGCCTCTGCAACTCAGACAAATGTGTCAGTTAGGTTGAAGGATAGACTGTGGGACATGTAAGATGACTCAGGCCCACTTCTTCCCTCATTATTAGTGAGTGCCTTAGCTTCTGGAGAGGAGCACAGACTCTGGTGAGTCTTTATGGTGTTCAGTGGCCTCATGTATTATCTGACCTGTTAGGAGACAGAGAGGATCATAGGACTACAGGTTCATAGATCTATGGCTGCAAGGGACCTTTGAAATGATATAATATAGCCTCATTTTGCAGATGAGAAAACTGAGGCCCAGAGAGATGAAGTGACTTGTCCAGAATTACACAGGATGTACAACTCAGAGCTGGAATTAGAATTCAGGTTCTGTGATTCCAAGTTCAGTGTGCTTTTTGAACAGTATCCTTTCTGGAATTATAAGTACGAAGTTTCATGGACTCTGGGTGTAGTGCTAAATTTATCTGTCTAAACTTTGCCTTCATTTTCTCAAGGAGAATGGGGATGATGAGGTCTCTAGGAACCCCAGAGGAAAAAGTGGTGAGTAGGAAAAAGATCTCAGTAGGGTCTCCCCTTCTTAAAAAGTATGGTGGACTTGGCCTTTGTTAAGGAGGTATTGGAGTCTGGGAGCTATGGGAGCACAGGGCCTGAATTTGGAAAGAACTATCATAGTTTTGGATGAATTATATTGACTTCTTAGAGCCCTAGTATAGGAAAGCAGGAAGGAGGTGATTGGTGCTGTACTCCTAATATTGAAAGAATATAGCATGGGAATATTAGCCAAAGGACTCTTCCCCACCATTATGTTAATCATCTCCTATTCTGCTTGCTGGAGGTGGGAGATCTAGAGGAAGACACTGCATAGCCTTCTACTCCCTTCCCAATTTCCAGTCTGATGGAAGAGCTACCCTAGGCAGATTTCTCTATGGGTGATTGGTGTGGGTGTGGGTGGGGAAATCACCTTTCATCTAGGATTGTTGCTTTCTGTGGTCTCTGTATCCAC